GTGTCAAAAAAATTCATTACAAGAAATTATATTAGAAAATTGTGCTTTTAGCACGGAATTCGAAATACTGAAAAGTTTTAAAAAGTTAGAAATTCTTCGTATCAGGCACTGTGACCATCCGAAACTGTTGAAAATATTAAATTATGAAATCAGCACTTTAGAGATAGTTGATTTCGATTTTGATGTACCGACTATAGTACAATTTTTAGAAAAGTCTGGCATATTATTACAACGATTAAAACTCGAAGCTGATGATATTTTTGAGGAATCTATATTACTTAATGCAATTAGGTCACTCTGTCCAAACATTACATATCTCAGCATTTCTAATATTTTGATTTCCACACAACTTCTAGAGCTGATTGGCAATTTACAAAACCTTAAATTCCTCACATTATGGTGTTCTACTGACGGAGATATGCCTGAAGAAGAATTAAATATAAGAATTATTCAATTTGCAAAAATATTACCGTTAACATTGCAATATCTTGATTTGAGGGATGGTTGGTTAGATTCATATATAGATATTTTGCTCAATTATTGCAATGCACCTTTAAAAAAACTATTAATTTATCGTCTTGAAAACGAGAAAAATATTAAAGCGTTAATCGAATTCTGCATACAAAATGGAACTTTGAATTACGTGGGTGTAAAAAGATATATAAATTTAGATGATAATGTTAAAAAAGAAGTGGAAAGATATGTTACATTGGTACCAGATGAACGTATCATCGTTAATTGCTAATTTTTATAATTAACTGTTAAGTAAATTTGCTTTTTTATAAATTTTAAATGTGATATTTAAATCGCTATAAATAAAAAATAGTGATAGTGAATCAATAAATTTAATATTATGATGGTTATCATTGTTTATAGTTTTCACGTCTTCTAAAAGTTAACGACTAATGAATGAATATTTGAAATAAATGATAACGTTTATTCCGAACTCTAGCTATAATTAAGAAATTTCACTACTACATTTCGCGGAATAACGCCCACCTGCACGTTATTTCGAATACACGAATGTGCATTAATTTGAAATAAAGTTAATTTTTTGCCAACCCTGATTTTCAAAATGACGAATGAGTCATGTGTAAATCTTATTAGTCAATATAACGGACTCCTAAATACTCGAATAGCCAGTTCGGCGATGACTGTCAGAATCTATTTAGATCGATTCTGAATTTACTCATCATAATTGAATTTCGAATCTTAAAAGTGGAAATCTATTGATAAAATTCATTTAAAATTTTGTTGCTTTTAAAAAAGAACGTAGATAAATGTTTTCTTAAATTTTGAGATATTCAAATTTTATAAAAGTAATTTAAATGAATTCTATGAATTCATGAAATTTATTTAAAAATTTTTCATCAAATTTATTGATATATTATCAAGAAACCTTCGTTTGAAATTTAAAAAAAAAAAGATTTTTGCAACTTTTAAAAAAAATAACTTCAGATAAAGCTTTTTCTAAAATTTTAGCAAATGCTTCTTGACAAAATCGACAAAATGAATACTTTGAATTTATATAATTCATTTAATGACTTTTTGAATAGGTAAGTATTAAATCCTTAAATTTTTTATTATCACAGCTTGCTTAAGTTACACTATTTCGATTTTTGGGATGTAACGATAATTAATTTACTAAATATATTTGATATGTAGATTATTCTTTTTTCTTTTTTCACATCTTTTTTCATCGTCAAATGTTGATATTTCATAATTAAAAACAGCTCCTAAGCAATTCATATTATATCCAGATTCAAGAATCAAAGATTTTTTGGTTGGTCGTAAAATTCAAATTCAAGCACAAATATTTATTTAAAAAAAACATAATATTTTCTATTAAAATAAACCTTTATTTAAAGGATGTGAAAAAAAAAGAATATCATATGGCATATCATTATATAACTAAAATTTTAGGGTCGATTCCAGAATTGCGGCTCAAGAAGGCTTGGGTGATCGTCTGCCAAAGATCATAAATCGACAGAAAGATGTGTCATAATGTATAAAAGTTTAGTACATATACCGTAAGCCTTTTTATTAGGTAATTAAAGGACGTAGCTTGGGCAAGGTTGGATACATCACTTATTTGCATACAGTATAAGGAAATCCTAACTCGACAATAAATCCCTTTTTTAAGGATATCGAGATATGTATTAACCAAATTACCAACATCATGCCTCTGGCAAGTTATTGCTAGCATACCGTAAATATGTGCAAGGTTATGTATGCTCCGAGTGACCATGTGAAAGTCTCGACGACCACTTAGTCGAACAAAATCCGAAATTCTTTTAGCGAATGTTAATAATGATTATTTACCGAACTTTTTTTTAACAAAAAAAAATTACATTACAGATTTATATATTACAGTATTTAAAAAACAAAAAAAAAACTTAATAATTTATTCAATAAACCTTTTTTTCTTCCTTATACACAGTTGACTTAATACAGTACAACGAACCTCTCTATAATGAGCCTTCATACCGTCAGCCCGTTATAGAAAGGTTGGCTATAATTATTTACGATTATTAAAATAACGCTAAAAGATTAGTCAAAAGAACTAAGAAAATTTTTCCTTGCGAAATACAAATTCGGAAAAGCTATTTAAAGCAGATTAACTAAATATGGTGCCAGAAGCTTATACCCAACAATCACGTGAAATGCTTCAATTTTCGTGTACTGGATTTGACTAATAAAATTAATGTATTAAGAACATCTTTGCAACTACTGCGCCGAAAACATGGCATTTTTTAAAATTATAAACCTTTTTAAAGACAAATTTTTTTTAAAAAACTGACCGATAACTTTATACATAGGAATGAGCTTTACAAAGTTATCGGTTAATTTTTTTAAAAAAAAAATTCTTCTGTAGAAAGTTATAGCTGTTCGAAAAAAAACGTCAATCTTCAAATCGGTATGACTCTTTATAGAAGCTTTTTAAAAAAATTAACCGATAATTTTGTAGAACTCTTCTATGTATAAAGTTATCAGTCAATTTTTTTAAAAAAATTTGTCTTTAAAAAGTTTAACATTTTAAAAAATGCTATGTTTTTGACGCAGTATTTGCAAAGATGTTCGAAATACATCAATTTTATTAGTCAATTCCCGCGAAATTGAAACATTTATCGTGATTGTCGGGTATAAGCTTCCGGCACAATATCATATAAATCATGATTTGTTGCATAATTGTTAGGATAATATTAAATTTGAAGTAGAATCAGTAAATAAAAAATATATATAATCCTTCTTAATAACAACTAAAATGCAATGCAAAGGAAAAGTCGATTTTATAACAGATCATTATTATCGATATTGTTGGTATTAACGAAATTTTGTATAAAGTATAAGTGGTTTGCCAATTGAAAAGTGACATAATAACGTACGTACGTAAGTCAAATAATTAAATAATTTTTTGAATTCCGGAATACTGACCTTGTACACATTTATGAAGTGCTTAGGGTGTAAGTTTTCTGAAACCTAATTTCATGTAGTTTTGATATGTAAATAACGTAGTCAACTTTCACTATACCTTGCGTATTTTTTGAATATAAAATTATAGCTAAGAACGTAGTGATAGATCACTGGTCAAACTTCATAATTTTAACTAAAACATTACAAATAATGCATTTACTGTAATTATTACAATTACTAGTAGGTTGATAATAAATCGATTAGTTGGAAAGTTGTCAACTAGTTAATTTTTCAACTAGCAATTTGGAACGTGCAAGTTTTTATAAGTTTCAATATCAGAAATCTATAACTGCCAACCATGGAATCAAAAAAAAAAACAGAAGTATTCATATCACTGAACCTATTACATATAAGATATTTTGAAAAAATCAACTGATTACTTTAGTGCTTTTTACAAAGAATAAATTTATAGGCCAGTTTTTAAAATAGTGCTTTAGTATATAATTGTTAGGAGAAACCAAAATAACGAAAGACGAAACCTAAATTCAGAATGACGAACCAAAATCCAAATGACGAACCTAAGTTCTAATTACGAAGCCTAAAATCTAAATGACGAAAAATGATGAAACCTTGGTTAGGTTGAAAATTACATAAATTACACTGTAACTTACAAAATTATAATGTAATATCACGTTTGATAATGGATTAACACATTATTATTGTACCAAATCCGCAAGCGATTTATTATTACCTTCTTATGCAATAAGCATTTCACGATATTTTAATGTAAATGCATTTATCTGGTTCAAATTCTAATTATTTATTTAAATTTGCAAGCGCTGAAGTGGTTGGTTAATCTGCTCGTGTAATTTAAGATCGTTCTGTATGATTTGAAATAATTGCATTTGGTCATTACTCTGTCCCTATTCCGTGTAGAATACTGATTATTTCCAGTTATTTTAGTAATATCTGTTTGTGTAGTCGATAGATCAATAAAAATTAATAATAATAATAATATAATAATAAAAATTAAACACTACTGCACTACCTCCGTTTATATGCTAAACAACTGATCAACTACTTTTCACGTGATACCCGTTATCGATTAGTTGCCATCTTAGTTGGCAACTAATCGATTTACAAAATTTAAACTCAGAACACTAATATTATTTCTATCACTATATTAGTGTATTATATGATTGTAGAAAATTTGTTGGTCAAATGATTGTTAGTGTGACTTTTAGATAATTGTAACAGAGCCCTAATAATGTAATCATTTATTTAGAATGTCACTGGCTAATAGCTAAGCGTCTAAAGAAAATGAACTGTTATATGATATTCTATTGATTATACGATATAAAATTTATTATGGGATTAGAAACATTAGATTACCGGTACATAAGAGTAATATACAGTAATGGTATTAGGTCTATAATTAGATGCATGGTAATATTTAAAAATTCTATTAAGATTTCACAAATTAATATTCACTATTATGAAATATTTGAACAAAGCTTCAAATTAGTTATATTAAATCGTTAACTTATTTATGGTATTCTTGCTTCTTCACAAAGTTTATCTTCTTCTTAATATTGAACCTTTTTTCCTTTCACCTCTTGTTGTTTCTTTTGCTTTTCTTGAACTTTCTCTTTCTTTTCTACGTTTTTATCTTTCTTTACACCAGCCTTCACTTTCTTATCATCGCTCTTCACTTTCTTATTAGCATCTTTCGCATTCTCTTCATGCGATTTCTCATTTTGATGTGAGAATTTAGCTTGCGTGTTGTTATTCTTCTTGTTCTTTTTGTCATGTTCCTCGTTGTATGTATCTTGTTTCAAATTCTTATTTAAGTGTTTCTCATTATCAGAGCCATAAATTTCTTCATTTGTTTTGAATTTCTTTTTTCCATTTTTATTAATAATTTCTCCCTCTTCCTGTTTCTTTGATCCGTGTTGCTTATTATTTTCAGCTTTTTGCAATTTCTCATTTTTGTGGCTCAAATTCTTTTCATCATGTTGTTGTTTCGTTTTGTCGTGATTCACTTTCAATTCACCTTGAGACTTATTCTTTACACCTTGTTTTTCGTGCTTTTCAGCTTGGTTCTCTTTCGAGTCTACGTGTTTAGCATTCTTTTCTACATTTTGGTCGGTCTTTTCATTTAATTTCTGTTTCTTAGTAACCTTCTTCGCTTTGGAGTTGCCTTCTTTTGCTTTTCCTTCTTTGTAGTATTTACCAGAAGAACGCGTTTCAAGAGCCAAATCTATCGAACAAGAATAAATATTACATTAATAAAAATAAGTTATTAAACATAAAATATAAGTAATTGAATATATTTTTTTAAAAAAATATATATTTACCTAAGTCCTTGGTATTGCCTTCTCAAATGTAATTAGTGAAAATAAGTAAGTTTAATATATGAGATCATAAGTATACATCAGGAAGTTTCGAGAGGTGTTAACTAACAGGGTGTGATGCATTGCTAACAAACCCTGCATAGTTTAACACTTTGTGATAATAAAATTGGTGTTAAACAATAGAGATGTGATAAATAACTTTTATCAGCTATTTATCACATCTCTGTTAATTAACATTAATTTTATTAATAAAAAGTGCTAAACTATATAGGGTTTGTTAAGCAACGCACCACACCCTGTAAGTTAACACTTCCAAAACTTCCTGTCGTAAACAGATAATGTAATAAAATAACTACCACTTGGAGTTGGAACAGCCAAAGTGCTGGCAGCGAGGAGAACCAAAGTTACGGTAGTAATGTTAAACTTCATGGTTTAAAAGAATTTAATGAACTGTTTATAAAAAAAAAAAATTTCTTTTTTCTATTATAGATTTGATCTTAGGCAAATATAATTTTGATTTAACTATATACGAAAAGTTTTTAAGAAACGAACAATTCGTGCAGAACTGGAGAAGTTCCAAAGACCCACTTATATAGATAAATTTTGGAATAATGTTAGATATGAAATCTATTTTACATTGATTATCGGTAAAGAGATTTCTTTGTAAATAGAGAAAATTAATTAAACTTGCATATATTGGCATGACTTAATTAAACCTCGCATATTATGAAACTTCGCCAAGATATAGTAAACCTTTAAGTGCAATTTAGGAACCAGTCTTTTGACAAAATACATTGGAGAACAAATAAGAAGAATTGAATTCATAAATATTAAGTATATATTTAGATCTGAATACATTTAGAGAGGTTGCACTCAGATAAACTCTTCTGTAAATTTTGGCGCTTCGTTATGAATGATAACTAGTATAGGTTCTAATTTTAAGAATGGTAATATTGCGTGAGATGTAAACAAAAAAACTATTTGTTTGTACACATATTTTAATGGTTATATAATAAGATAATATTATCCCCTACATTAAACATCAACCTCTGCATTATAGTGCAGTATGCATTCATGCATTTTGATTTAATAAAATTGAATTTAATACATTATGGGCGTCGCCAAGAGAGAACTATTTTCGAGGAAAAATATGACACCGGAGTTTTAATTATTGCTTTCTGGTATGTAAACTTGAAACATCGATGATAAAATTTCTTTGGCGGTATTATATACTACAAGCGGAAGGTTCTAGGCATATATAATGATGTTTTCAAGTTTTATAATTAATAAAAGTATAATCTTGACTTAAAATTTATAATTTAATATTATTAAAAACTTAATCTATCGAATTTGCCTTGTAAATAAGTATATGCATTGAAATATTTATTGCGTTAGAGGGTTGTCCGTCAAAGCCCATTCACATATTGTTCTACATATTGTTTTCTTGATATCTATACACGTATAATACACAACTTCAATTCGCAATTTGATTGGTTAGACAACTTCTCTTGATTCACATGTGGGATAAAACTGTTTTCCCTGTGGTCTGGTCTGTTCTATTACAATACTATCTACATGTAAACATCGTACAATTAGGCTTTATAATCCTGATGGAAGCATTAAAATTAATTTACTTATATGGTAAGCGGAATATAATAACAATAAAAGAAAATAAAAGCTTGATTTATTTAAAAACAAATACGACTATAGCATAGGAGGATTACAACATTGATGGCAAATACATAGCAAAGACGTGATTTTTAGATATAAATGTCGGCCCGACCCAATTTTTCAAAAAAGATTTTTTTTTTTTTTTTTTTTTAAGTTCCAATTGCTCCAATTATTCCATTTTTGCAATCTAATTTTGTACATAATTTTATTCGGTGCCATTGTAATTATCCGATAGCTCCGATAAAAAAAAAAAAAAAGTTCAACATGCGACTGAAATTTTCGAACACCGGATATGCAAAACGAAAAATCAACTTTGTGTGGACTTATTTGTATACTTTTAATTTAAGTCTACATGGCTTGAAGACCACTGAACAAAAAACTTTTTGTGAATTTGTTTGCATATTTCGTTAGGTTTAGCCAGGGCTTTGTCTTTCTTCCTTTTTGGGCTTAGGCTTCTTTTACCATTTTAGAAATAACTATATGGGCTTTATTAAACATGTTTAGGGATGGGGAAAATACAAAATTTTCATTTTAGCATGCACACGCGCATGCATTTTTGCATGCATGCATGTTTTGACCAAAATTACGAGTTAATTTCTTATTGCTGGCCAGAATTAATTGCATGTTTTGCATACCATGCATGCAATTGCCCATCTCTAAACATGTTACACTGCACAAATATACCTATTTGTATATAGTGTTCGTACATATAATGCATATTCATTTACAAACTTCCCTAGCACGTCCACGGAAATTTTCCATCCCTGTAATTTTGACCAACCGAATTTCAAAATCTAGTGTAATTAAAGTCGGAGTGAAGCTATTTTACAAAAGAACAAGAATGGCTCAAAATTCTATTAAGAACCCATCTTCTGCGGTCTAATTAAATGTTTCTTGTGAAGTTTACTAATAAATGCCACATTATTCTAATCTAACACTAATATAATTTTACACGCAACTTTTCGCTTT